ATAAAGTCATAACAAATAATAGAAAGATATTCCATACGAAGTTTCTTGGTGTGCCACGTTCTTTTGCGTAAACGTTTGTGTGCAACTGCAATATTTTGGTGTAGTTATTGTAACCATTTTTTAAACCATGATGCATCAAATATGTTCACACATTACTAGTTTAGACACTACTGTTCATATACTGTGACGTAGACTAGTTCTTTGAAAATCGACGAATGAATTGCGACGATCGTATTGTTCGTTTACTTGCATTGAGTCACAAAAAAATGTTTTTTCAATTGTCAATTTCTAATTTCTGTCCTACTATTTAATTAGCAATGTTATTTAATGTTAATGTTGTTTTGAAATTCGCCAATCAAAAACGTAGTTATAGTATAAGCCTAATACCCAGAATTTATTCATTTTGCAATAAATTGTATTCCGGGGCAATATAAGGATATTGACTTCAAAAAGTTGGGGGTCACGAGTTTTTTTATTCATTGTATTTTAGTGGATAATTGTAATTTTGTGAGTAGTATAACGCTTTTACCATATGTTCCTATTATGCCATGTATTAAATTGTAGGCTGGTTTCATAGGCTGAAAAAAATATTTTAATGACGGTGTACTTTTTGTTGTTTTTTGGCGTGGGGATTTGTACGTGGGTGTGAACCTTCGAATTCCAAGAAACTATATATATAAGGAATTACCGCAGTTGTCTGTCCTCTAGCATAGTTGATATGACGCAGCAATAGTCGTAATCTCGCCTCAGAACTCAAATAATCACGAATGAACGAACCTCAACGATCCTCTTTGCTGGCTGTTATTCATTCCTAATCAAAATTATGGCTGCAGACAGGAACGATGTGTAACTCGATCGTATAGACCTCCGAATACTTGTTCTGGTATTCTGATAATAACCTCATTTTATCATTAATATAGGATTATGTATTATATTTAGCAGTAGTCTAATGTGTTTTCATAATTGGATTGTTAAGATTTTGGAATTTCATTAATACATTGAATAGATAATGCGGGAAAGAGGGAAAAAACAACAAATAATTTAATTTTGAACTTGAATTACTATTTTTTTAGTTTATGTTGAAATTTTACTGAAGAATATGACTTTGAGATATTTTTACTTCATCAAAATTGATCATCAAATTTGTATAGCACATTGTTGAGTGTGAAAATACCGTAAAAAATAGTTTCACTACGACGCTATGACTTTTGTTTGTCCAGTATTTACGTTCGATTTCACGCGGGATCTCGCAACTAATTTAGTGCATTGACATAAAGATCAATGTCTAGTACATTGATCTTTATCTTTATGTACATTAGTTTGAAACACCTTAGTAGTGTCACCGCGTTCCGTTCGATATGGGTTCCATACACGCCAATCTGATTAAAATAAGATCCTGGTTTTTTTGTATATATATTTTATTTTGATCTAGTATATATTTATTGTAGTTTTGGTAATTGTGAAAGTCAACAAGAATCAAATCTCGCGAAAGTAACAGCCAATCACAGCCCTCCTTTTATACAGACTGTCGGTTGCACTTTTCATACTTTTTTACGGACAATCTTCCTGCACATTATAATTTGCCCACTTGAATAAACAATTAATAGAAAATTACTATTATATGTTTTATTCACAGAAGAGATTCCACAGCATTTTACAATTTTTGTCATTACATTGAATATTTTTTTTTCATTTTCAACAAATGCGTACACTTCCTGATGCATCTTTGTCAGCCAACGTCGCTGCCAAGGTTCGTTTATATCGTCATCACTTCAAATTTATACCAAACACTGAGCATAATTATCTAGAATGGAACGAAAAATAAGTAAATCATGATGATTAGAACACTGTAAACAACTATAGTAAACAATGCAAACTGATTTTATATTGTATAACGGTCACTGGTACCGGCACAAGGCATAGACGCAGGATATTGGAGCAAACAATATTTCCTCATCAATTGCGATGTTTTCCAAATAAAAAATATTTTATTCCAGTTCAAATCAACTCAATTACTTTAATAAATGTACAAAGTGTTGATACATTGATACATGATACAATTTTGGTCCGATCGTCAACAAAACATCACCGGTCTGGAAAAAGATACCGGTGTTCGGTCGAACCGATGGAAAAAAAATCGTCACTCCGGAATAACTACGCAAAATAACGACCTAAACTGGAACCATTCAATCCACAATATAAACATGAAAATAAAAGATGACTTTCGTTGCATTTGACACTAATAAACTCACCGTTTGCATCGGTATAATCCGCCATTTTATTTGAGTGTGTTTGTGACCTAACTCTGACCGCTGACGTCATCAGGTGCGCTATATACAGAGGTCTGTGATTCGTTGACTAAAATCGTCGATAGTGGGTCTCGTTGAAATCTCGTTACATAGGCAGAGGCTCAGATGTATGTAGGGCGGAATTTAAAAAAAAATACAAATCAAAGTGAAATAATTAAATAAAAAGGTATTAATAACAAAAGTAATAAAAAATAACATAAAAATACGTTTATAGCCAAAATAATTGAAGCCCGTACACATTAGATTTTAGTCAGATTGCATACACATATACAATGGTGTGAAATAAACGATTTGAATGCGCGTTGCACGACGACCGTGTCGCTCTAAAAATACGCGATAGGTCAGCCAAACCGTTTGAATTGTGGATAATTTTGGGCAACATCTAACGTTCTTTTTTTTAAATCTAAAGATTGTTTAGTTTTGCTTAAACCTGTATTTACCCACGAATAAGTGTAATGTTCTCTACTGTATATTAAAATTGATTACAAGGTGTTTACGTAAAGCTACAAGCCAATGCCTTATACGCTGTACGATTCGACATAACATGCCATAGCTATTGCTTTTGTGGGATTCCCTGGTCGACACTTATCAAGATGTCGATAGTCGTCAACAGCGGACACCATATCTTTCACAATCGGTCAGGTCTATCAGCCATATCCCACGCTAAATAGACCCGTGTACAAACATATGTTTGCACTGTGCCATGGAAACGGCGTGCCTCTTTCATCAAACTAAAATGAATGACTAATTAGGGAGGGGTAAGATTTCATGCCAGCATTGAATGTGAGTACTGTCGTCATTTTATATTGGTAATATAACACCTCCAAATATTGCTTTGTGTTCATTTATTGTTGAATGGAGAGTTATTAAAACTTTCGTCAATATGACAAATGTATAAAGCTTTATAGGATGGTTCGGAACACTGTGAAGCCATTATTAAGTATTGAGCTGATCGTAAAATACATTTTGAATGGTTCTCATCGTAGACTGTTTTGATTGGCTCTTGCTGCTGCAAATTGAACCCAACCCATAATCAACATTTGAACAAAATGTATTTTTGTTGCACATATAAATGATCTTAATTTGGAGATGGGATTAATGGCTTTTGTAAAAATTGCAATTAGCTTTATTTTCTATTCGACTAACCCAATTAGACAATCCGTTAAGTGAGCTTATAAATGTAAGCACCGTGCTACCGATAAACGGTTACCGTAACTAAATCTTGTCACCTGGTGAATGTGCAATGTCCATTAGTAACGACTAATTTAAGTAAGTACATGCAATTTAGAAGTTCAAACGACTTTCGGGGTTAATGAAAGTCGTGACGTCGACGTCGTCGTGACCTTCAGGAAAATATTGCAAAACGTGACAGGTAGCTAGTAAGATTGCTGGGCTACATGTTGGACATAAACTTTATCCCATATACATACACAATGTTACTCGTGCTAACTATCTATACAATTTCTGCAACAGTGTACTTTTTTAATTAATTTGTAATAATGTATTGACAAGCAAGACGACTACGATTATTGACCATTAGTTGAATTGAAAAGTGAAAGACACGGTGTTCCATTTCATTATCCATACATACAGTCCAATTTGCTATTGATGTTCTGTACTCCGTCTAGTTGGCATTCTTACAGACACACTACCGACTGGCGGTATGAATCATCATAATGTGCAATGTATACAGTATTTAACACAGTATGTCAGTCAAAAATGTAATCTACTTGGTAATGCGATTAAACTTGGATTTCATCTCGCTGGCAGTCACCTGCAAAGGAAATATGCGCATGCATCAAGATCAAGATGGTGGCAGCGATTTTAATGCTAACAATTCATCCGCATTGATCATTTCTGACATGCCATGAATGTACGTGCATGCATGGATCATTAAAATTTGGTACGTATATTAATTATAATGGTTTCTTGATGCATCTTTTTCCATAGATGTTTTTAAAAAAATGACTGTCGATCATTTTGTGTTAACGAATGCTGTTTCAGTGCCATATCCGAACGGACATGCCTGGACAAACTTATTCACATAAAATATACATATCTTACAAATATTGTCAGATGTGTATGCACACGCTCAAAATCAAATGAGCATATTTCATGCAAATTTGGTACGTACATTGAGCATGGCGGGATGTTGAATTTAAATTGTTGACTAACAGCAATTTTGTTTTAAAGAATACTGTTCCCCTTTCTTATCAATATTATGCCTTCACCAATCATAATCACAAATACAAAAACATAAACTGGCTCCTTTTTGCACAATGACTGTCTTTTTGAATGACTTTTATCTGTCGACATAACACCATGAAAGAGTCCACCCTATTCTTTCAGATGTCCGTTGTTTAGCTCATAAAAGATCGTTTTTAAAAACGTACCCAATGTTGGCTGTCATATATTTGTTTATGTTATATCGAACGCCGAGACGAAGGACCACAGTTATTATAAAAATTATGTCTCCTCTTATTCAACAAAATGACAAAAAAACAAAATGAAAAAATAATATGCACGTATACAGTTACTGTACTCGTAACTGTCTTAATAAATGAATTGATTTTGAAGATTTCCCAAATCGCTTCCTCAAATCCAACTGTGCCAACTCTATTTTTTCATTTGAGTATGAATCTGAATTATATTTGTGAGAAATTACATTAAATTTATGTACACATTTTACAGGAGAAATCCCCCGGGGATTAGAAGAAGATCCGATCAATAACCTTGACTGCATCGCACAGGAGTTATTTGGGAAAATAAAAAAGGTAAACGAGCACAAGACTAAATCATCACAAATTCCACATGCTGAGTGTACATTGGCCATAGCTGGGCCAGCCATTAAGGAAGATAAAGCAGCAATTTGTGGCTGTACATCACTACCAGTTGTCAGCTCATCTCAATATGGCAGTCAAGAGGCTATTCCTTCAGGTGTAAACGATGGAGATTTGTTGCTGACAAGTGCCGTGGACAGTATGACAGCTAAAGTTGAACACATGATCAATAACAAACCTGTCAAGATAAAAGGCGATATTGAAAGTATTCCAGAAGACCAAATTGTCAAAAACAGGCTGAGTTGTGAGGTGCTCAGGGGATTACCCAGATTTAAGGATTACGAACCCGGAAGCCCTAATAAGGTACAGTTAGTCATTTTAATGATTGTGTGAGTTATCTTTCGCCGTGGAAGTTCATAACGGCACTGATTGTAATATGATAACAAGCTTGACATAAGCATTTGTTAGAATACACAACCGTCACTAATGTTGATTAATAACATAGAATGAATTCGAACAGACCAGTTATTGGTATTTCCAGAAGAGTGAAATATCCATTCACCTATTAAGTGAACCACCGCAGTTATCTGAGCCGGTAAATGTGCATTCGGGTCACTTGAAAATACACCCAATAATAATAATGTCACAAGTAACTCATTTTGTTAGTGTATATCATTCAAATATCAATCTTTTTATTATGTGTCATTCTAAATCAAATTTTACACTTATTATCAAGCGAGAAATTAGTTGGTATAGTTACCTGCACAGACACTATGAATTACCTAGAATGCTACATTTTGGCTTGATGTGTGTGTTTGCTTGCTGTGGCAAGTCGCATTGCCGTGGTCGTATGAGTTTTGACTTGCTTGTTTGTTTCTATTTTTGTATCAAGTGTGTAATTTGTATTTATGCTCATGCAAAGCATTTGAAGAATCAAGGATAAGAAACAAACCTTTGGACGAAAAGTAGCTTATTAAACCAATATCTGTAGTATGTCCTTCGGGTTGTTGTACAGGAAATACACGCAGAAACTGCTTCGCCTCCTCATTAATGCCAGTATTGTGCCTCATTGCATATATATTATATTATATGCTTTATTCGTTCAGGTAAACAAATCAATCACCATCAAATTGAATACATTCTTCAAATATATATGTATATTTGTGAATTAAACTCTTTTAACCAAATTAATCATAAATAGGGATTTAATCCCCCCCCCCCCCAATAATTGAACCTATTTATATCAGGTGCAGTGGCCGGTTACAATTCCATTCTACTTTCCAAAAGTTACAGTTGATGCGCCTTTTTGTAAATAGCATAATTGATTATTGGAAATTAGGTTTCTACTGATATTATAGTTTAAGTTGTTGAACTGAAATGTCAACTGTACATCAAACTGAACTATCGGATATAACGATATCCTATTGTATGGCAACATATTTTGTAGGAGCCAAACATTTCTATAATATAATAAGATAACATATATGTTTCACTATTTGTATATTAGTTTCAGAAATCAAGAAATTGAGACATTAAAAATTACCCAACAGTTGAAGCATGTTAGCCAGCAAATTTCAATATAATTTGTATCATTATTAATTTATTGGCTAAATGAAGGTTTGAATGGCCGATTTGCATCTAAATATATTGCATACATTAACAAATATAGTATTCTAAACACATGTCAATAGATAATTTCGGAAATTGTACACATAGTTAGGTTTCTGGAACATTACGCCATTCTAGCCAATGAAACATACGAGTAAAACAAATTGTGAAACAAGAATCGGGGTTTATTATGTCTTCCAATGCTCATAGCAGAAAACTTCATATGGGGACTATAACAATTATTCTATTGCATTAGTGGTCATTTGCTTTAGCCGGCGCCTCAGGCCATAGCAAACTGATATACATTTGTTATTACCTAATAAATTATTCAATGAAAAAACTAAATTTTTGATGACGTGAAATTGGTTTATTAGTTCCAAGAGATTATTCTTATTAGAGTGAATATCGTTGTGCAAAGTTATACAATTTTTAAATACACCTTAATTCCGGTATGTCTTAACTAATGGCTGTCAGACTTGTATATGTTTTCATTGTGCGGATTCCTAAAGACGTCTGCATCCGTCTTGCAACTAAGCTTCTAATTCTTATTGGTCATTAGTGTGCTGTTTGATATGAATTCGTTGTTTTTTTCATATGTAGACGAGAACAAAATGTAACGGCATCAAATGCTCAAGGGAAGCAATTATCTGAATGCTGAAAACATCCACAACATGTCCATGTTAGCCTTTGAAGTAGTCAACACTAGTTAGCTCAAATTTGCTCAGACAAAATCCCCGGAAATGCGTGGTATACTTGGCAATTGTAATAACAGCACTGTCTGCAGCGTAGTACATTGAATGCATCAAGAATAATAGACACCTATTATCAAAGCATTTATTTTCAAACTGCCACTTAATGTCGCAATAACCATCACTAAATGATGCACTCTCGTGTCACATCACTGCAATTATTTCTTGAAGTATGAGGCGCTTTCAAGGTGAAATAATGTCATTGTTACGCGTGTTGCCTTGATGTACGTGATGTACGTGCACGGAAACAGATGTTGAGTCAATATTTGTCTCTTGTAACTCTCGGTGATTTATTAAACTGTTTGGGTTCCAATATATATTATCAATTATTAATAATGTTATAATGAACCAACTAGAGCAATTACTAATGGACCTTAGCATTCGTATTAATGTGAATTGACCAATCGTCGCACGATACTACATTTTGGTTAACCTCGGAATAGAAGATATTGTGGGAATCAGTGACGTTATCGGAAGAAGGTGAAATACGCAATACACATTCTACGATGATTTAGAACACAAACTGACCTGAATCACAGTATTTTTTGACAGTTGTTTCTCACCTGCGCCGGTATATTTTTTTTAAAAAATGTACATTTGTTATTATTGGGGTCACTATATTTGTCTGCAGATTTGGGTTAGGAAGAAGTATATGTCGTCACAACATTCGATTTGTCTTCCTTGTAATCACTTAACTTGTGTTTAAGGTAGAGATGCAGTTTACCTGACAGGTATTTTAATTAGTTAATTAGGAAACCAAGACGACCTCCCTTGCCCACAAAACTATTTATTTTCGGAAAGCATATTGTATGATTTTTTAAAATTTTGTTAGTATTTTTTTTCATGAACACTGTAGTTTGAAATATGCATAAAAATATGCTTTTTTGGTCAAAAGTGATTTAAAAAAAATAGCTTCTAAACCATGCTTCTGTTTCCTGTGAAAATTGATTTATGGGTACATTTGTTTACTATGAAGAAAGTGCCGTCTTCAAAACTGTCTACCAGTTGTCAATTTTGCAGGGCAGCACCGCACCCGAACCCGGAAATCGAAGGCAAATCGGGATGGTCTCGTCTCGTCACGTAATTTCTTACCTTGTTCTTGACCGCAGTACGCTTGGCTATGAACTTCCACATACCCACGCTTCTGGGAATAGTGCATCGTGGGCAATACTTTATTGATTGAGGTGAAACAAACATGGTTGCCGTAATGCCTGTTCGACTACATCGCTCGTGTTTCTCTTTCTGTCTTAGAGTTCTCTGTTTTCTTTGATTTTGTTTATTTCAATTAAACAGCGATTTGGCTGTGACCATGCATTTAGTCATTGTCGACTGTTTTTCTCGAATTGGTTGATTGTCATAGCAACATACGCTAAGTACAATTAAACGACTAGTCCGGAGTTGAACAGTAGTCATTTCTAACATGATTATTTAAGTTAGTTTAATTCCTTCAGTTAAAAATTGAGTTTCCAAAATAAATAAATAATACGTACCCTCATGTCTACTTCAAGTTTTCATTAAAACAAAGTCAAAGTCTTTGAATTTGCTTTTCTGTCTGTTCGCCAATCCATTGCTCCAAAACACACCTTTAAAACTCTTATTTTCCCAGCATCGAGATGGCTCTGCCAACTCTTGTTTCACCATGTTTCTTTCTGATTATTTATGTACAGCCTTGCTAAATCTTGCTAAGCATTCAAAAGAGAGAATGTTTGCACCTGTTATCTATATTTTCAAATCGTTTTTTGAGTATGTTCCACTGTTCACAATTCTGCAAAATTTTAACAGTCTATAGCCAAGAATGTTTGGATAATAAAAAGCAAAAAACAAAATTTCACTTCCAAGTGCCCACAAACCTGCATCTCTACCTTAAATAAGATACCTTGAACAACTTTGAATTGCAGTGTAATCAAGCTCAACAAAATGTCTAAGATTATTCGATTGATGTAATGGGCCAGTATATTTGCAATATAAAAAAGTGTTGTGAATATCTTAAATGTAACGTTCTAATGTGTACCATAAATAACTTTTATATCATACATATTATAACCATGACACATGGAGCTCGATTTGCTTGCTATGTTACTGACATTTGATACCTGACATCTATTATTTTTGTCCATGCACTTTGCAGTTGTTTGTTGTTTTGTACTTGTAGGGTGTTGTATTTGTATTGTGAAATTATCAATTGGGTATCGATATCGATTCGCTTTGAAGTTATTTCCACTTTTTTTTATTTTATGTCTTTAGGCCCTTATATATGTCTGCCACTAATTGACCATGATTATGATTATTCTCAGTCTAACCATGTGATTATCCAACATGTTATTACGAGTTTTGAAAGACCACTCCGTCTCATCAGAAGGACATGTGCTCTATAGCGTACGAGGTACACGTCAAACAAAATATGTCATTGATGCGTCTGTTCGCTACTTGCGGGGCTCGACGTTTGTTTTGTAAATCGGCGCACAAAAATACAATTATAAACATTTTTCTTGTTTTGTTTCGTACCAAAACAGTGTATCTTGACGTCAACGCAAGTTGGGGTTTTCCCTTGCGAATATATTTTAATGATGTTATTAATGTTACGCTTGGGCATTTAGCACCGGATATAATATCTCTCTGTGGCAAACAAGCATATTTGGGTAGATAATCTAATATGGTAATGTTCCCCTTGAGAGGTCTTATATCCGCTACCAAAATCCCTCACCTGCTGTTGATCACATCTAATTGTGTTCATCAGCTGTTTGTTCGTCATTTTTGCTTTGTATTTTGTGACGTGCGTTTATGCAAACTAGATTGATATTTTTTTACTACGTATGGTGTTACGTCATTGCACTATACATTATGTCATTGTTTTTATCTTTTTCAACCCTTGCATTCATTTCATGGTTGAAAATGTTGTTATGAATATTACAGTCATTAATTTGGTACAGCTAACATTAAGGTTTACGAGTAAAATGTGCTGGTGTTTGAATCGGGGGTGATAGTCCGTCTGTCTGTTGTGCCATCTGTGAATGCTCAGATTAAAAGTTGTTATTTCTGAATAAATATTTAAAAGTCTTTAAATGGAACATGAACCGCAATGAATAGTTATGCGTGCCGGAACCTGATTTTTTTTTAAATCTGACAAACCATGACATGCAACGAAGTTCGGATATACCATGTTTAAAGTTAAAGATGCAGTAGAAACGAATATAAATTAGGAAAAAAGGGTCGAAATGCATAAACAAAAACACGATAGGCAGGTGTGCCTCGCAAACAGATCCTTAAGGTGAATGCTCCACATCGAATTGTGATTAATTAAAAATGACACATCAGTCGATAAATTTCGCGTGCGATTCGGTGCACGTGACGACGGCCCAATATCTTGAGCACCTTTACCTACATAAATGCTTATATGTTTGCCAAAAACTTCTGACTCGTATAGCGTGCGTATACCGTAATTATGCATTTGGCGTATGGCACGTACTTCTTCATACGTCAAAGGCTACAATTAAAATATATCAGATAATGCAAATTAATTACAATATAATTGTGCTTACTGTAATATTTTTTTTTATTTCTTTTTTTTTTCTATTTTGAAAATGAACAAATTCTATTGAATGTATCATGATGTAGTAACATATATCTCATCGATTGTAAATTGATAAATATTGCTTAACTCCGTGCAATCAATATATTGGTTGAATTCGCTTACATAACGCTTGACATTCCCCACTGTAAGCTCAAATGTAGTTATTTTTTTTTTAAATCAGGTATTAAAATAGTGGCTCAACATGTATAATCTTTCCGGATTAAGCATCTACCCACTGTATTTACCCTAGATATATATATATATATACCCTATATACAAATGTCATATGTAATTAATAACGTGTTCTACCTTAGGCTAAGATGAGTAGTCTTCTTCAAGCTTCTTAAATGAAAATCACAGTGAAATTAACGTGATGCCCGATGGCGGGTGTTACGGTTTACATGTAGCAAAACACATATGCTTGATAGTAACCCCATCTCTGTCAAATTGAGTGATTTTTTAATAATTAAATTATTATTATATTTGTGATATCATATTTCCAGCAAGTCTTCAGATATTATGTTACTTTGATACACACAAATGTACTGAATGTGAGTACGGAATCGGCTTAATGACTATGTTTTTTTCAGTAAGGAGTTGCTTATGCATAATCACTGTTAATGCCACACAAGGTTGGTTGAACCCATAAATAAAACTATATGGTCATAAAATTACCAACAATTACCAAAACGCAAACAAGTATACAGTAAATTATTAACTGAACAATTAGTGTGATCCCACAACAATTGCTATTTTAAATGTTGATTTTCAAATCTGTTTCTAGAAAGCTTATGCACAACATACCTCGTATAGCAAAATGTATGCCCCAATTAGGCTCGGGGCAGTTATGTTATAGCTGTATTATACAGTGTAGTAGTATATCCATTTGAGTCGAATTCATTGTAAAGATTAGCTGTAAGTTAATGCCATGTGCGAAAAATATACTAGTGAATATTAGTTCCCGTCTGAAACGGGAATTCGTTTTTCTAGTTTGTGTCCGTCCGATGAAATGTTTTGGACATGTCCAGTCCGTTTTTGTTCACGTCCTATTGGCATACATATGTGCGTTAATTTGCTTAACGTTCCGTCGATTTTTGACCGACTGACTGCCATTTGTGAAGCCAAAACACAATAAATTTGCCCATGTAATCATTAAGCATGCCTTGGCCATTTTTGTTTGGTGTTGACATCACTCATGCTGGTCATTTTGTTTCCTGTTTTGATTTAGAATGGCCGAGTGGCGGCCATTTTTCGTCGTGTCTTCTATCCGATGCATTTTCACCGATTGTATTTTCACGTTATGATATACATGTTTTTGTACTGTATTTTCTTCCAAAAATTCAAATACAATTTTAACATGTCATCAAACATGTTTTCAAGCATAATTTGCTGTGTTCATTTTATTGAAACTTGGTCTGAACATACAACTTAATAAGTCACCAATGCACGAATTCAAAATGGCGGAATGCATCTGTTCTAGACCATTGTATTCTACATACATTATCGGATCGAAATCAAACTATACAACTACATTATACATCATGTAATTTGTTTCATGTTCTGATTCAAAGTGGCTGACTCATTTCAGCTTCGTTTACTATTTAACTAACGGGGACTCATGTAGTGTCATGACATGACTTCTTTTCAAATTATTCGCCAAAGGTGTATCGTGAGCGACTGTCACCATTAAAATACTCGTGTGGTCAATGACTCAGGTGATTTTAATCAGTATAAAATATGATAAGTTTCATTTGGGCAGATTGTATGGCTACAAATACGGCCTTCATGTCACTATTCACCTAAAACGCACTCGGTCATACTCACTGTATCGTTATTCACATGCCCTCGAGGCGTGTACTGTTACTCATTGTTCATAATGAAACATAAGCCCCCTCAGGATTAGAGCAGGTACTCAATTATCAGGTGGCTTAGACTTCTTTGGGTTCAGCGTTTTGTAACATTGTGTATTTCCCTATTTATATCGAAGGTATGCCTTAAAGTGGTGTTCCATAGTTATAAGTACAGACGTTCAGTTTGGGAAAGCGTAACGAGAACATGTTATTTCTTTTTGATGATCGATCTTTCACAGTACTTCACTACTTCTGTTTTGTATTTTCTTGGTGCTTGAACGTAGCCGGAGTGTTTTTATACGCAAAAGCAAGCATTTTATTCTGTGAAATTGCATTTTAACAAATAAATTCAGTCGATTTGTTATTGAATTAATTTAGTACACTCCTTAATGACCGCATACACTTTGTTCGTTATGTATATTAATTATCACAATTCACTTTTGTATTCGTGATTTTATGTCGTTATAGGTGCTATACGTTAAGAATCTTGCAAGTGGAGTGACTGAGTCTGACCTGGTTGCCTTATTTATCAGGTTCCAGAACACCGAGAGGTCACCTGTCCTATTTCGTCTATTAACTGGTCGAATGAAGGGCCAAGCATTCATTACATTTGACTGTAAGTAACTTTAATATCTAGAATTTAAAGACGGAAATAAGTAAAGCTTATCTTCACCTAGCATTGCAACTCATTATTATAGTTATCTCATACTTTGTTAGCTTTAAATTGAAATAGGCTTGCGAAACGTGAATTGTTTGAATCTCAAAGGCATTTTTAGACAGCACAATAGGTCATATCGTGGTGTTTACCTTGTATTTACTACCTAATTATTGCTCTCCTTGACGCATCATATATTACTACAGGTATAAATTGAGTTTATTTGCCAACAACACTGATGCCGTAATTATACGCTATAACCTTGAGATGTCTGATCCCAGTGAACATCACTCTGTGCTATTGTGTACATCTGAAATACGTCATAGTGTTATACTGAATGCAACGGGAATAGCGTATAGCCATGAAAGTATAATCAATCTCTTTGTGAATGTTACGCACACATGTTGCGGCGATAGCATCCAACTGATCAGGATGTATTCAACCTAACTAATTGTTAACTGTGATAATTATTATAGAGGCAAACCAAATCAAAATACTTTGACTGACAGATCGATTATATTCATTCTGCTAAGTAACAAATGTTTATGGGTTAAAGGTAGATTTGTTTCTCATATTGATTGTTGTTAGTTTGGCTAATCAAAGTTTTTGACGTCATGGCGATTATCCCGTTCTTTACTGAAACCTTATACGAGAAACACGAACATCAGATTCTATTTCAAAGGTTATCAAGAGTGATACATTAAATTTAATTTGTTTAAATGTTATTTAGGTAAATCATGCGAGGTTGTATTCATTTGACATATACTGTGGTCATATACATTCAACTCTAACATAATCGTAACAAAGGTTTCAGGTGAATGAATCATCGATTTATAATTATATGTAGTATATGATAATAGTATCATAAATGTTTCGAAAGTACCAACACGGATATGTCGTTTCTATGCCAACTATTCAGTTGTGTCAGCTGTATTGCTCGTTCAATCATCTCATTGGAACTTCAATTCAAGTAACATACCACGCCAGGATGTACTGTACGTCACGTATATAAGGTCAATATTTGTGCACAGTCAGCTTCATACACGTGATAATAAAATAAATGCGATTAATGCCGATATTTACTTTAATACGCCGTGAAACTAAATAAGAATATACTTGAGAAACGCGTTATCCAGATCCCTACAAATCAGAAATAAAATACCAATCTTCTCAGCCAAATGTTTCGTTTGGGCCAACCGCTATAAAAATTCGGCCGAATTAGCCGTTTTTGTGTGGAAAAATTCCTTGCATACGAACACCTAATTACACTAAGAACATAGAACACTTTCCCGGGGTATTTGAAACCGAAATTGTCATCTAACTGTAAGGCCGTCGCTGATTGGTTTCTCAGTTGGAATGACATTTTTTTGTTCAACCTAATTTGAGCTTGAGAACAATATGCGTAAGTGAGATGTGTGTTATTCTAAACCTCAAGAAAATTGAATTTCTATATATTTTGCATGTCTGCATGTTGTATTTACTAAAGCAACGAGCGCCAATTGCCAATTTGTGAGCACTCACCTTGTTTGTACAAGAGGCGGATATGGGACAAGAGGCACTTGGGACAAAACTGCCAAAGTAGACCGGTATATGTTATCATTTCCATCTCACAGAAAGCCGTTCTCCATAGCCTTATAGCGCCTGCTTCGTGGTTGGGTACATTATGTGCCATAATTTATACTTAATAGAGAGGTCGGCTAAGAGACATTTGATAAATTACCAATAATGTGATTAATTTTTAGGTCATCGGCCTTGAAATTCGCAGGCACACTTGTCATATCAGGGTCAAATTTTGTGTTAATATCATAACACCGTGCATTCTTTTGTAGTATACATGGTCTATATTTAGATTATGTCTGGTTGTTGCAAACAACTATCTAAATGCAAAGTTGTACCACTTAGCTAACAATACAAAAACATTTGTAAAATATTCCTAGTTGGAGGAGTGTCAAAGGTTCAGTATGTTTTAAATTCGTTAATGGTAGGTCATGTCAAGGACATCTTCGTCAGTAGTGAGTTAAAGCGGCACAATCGTCGCACCACCTCCTGTTCGATATGGGTTATATACGATGTATACAAAGGTTGAGAAATACATTATTTGTGTACACGAAATTCGAGCACGCCCTGCGCACTTTAATCGTGACTGGTTGCCTCGGTAACATATTCAATCAATTTTACACAGTAGCACTTTTCTTGAGATTAGAAAGTATTGAGCTCTCAATATAAGGCGCATTATCCTGGCTACAGTAAAATTCCGAATCCTCTTTACATTATTTGTGTAACCAACTTTCAAATACTGAAATGAAATATAGTGTTACTCTCCGGGCTGGTGTCAACACATTGGTGCTCTAAAACTATTTGAGAGAAATACGAAGAGTTAACACTCTCTGCATAGCTGTCAGTTGCAAATAGCACTGAGCTTCATGCTGATCATCTTTCATATAGGTATTGCTCAATGACACCCTACTTACACAGTTCTCAGTCCTAAGGGCGATATACTTGTCTATGTTGTAGTTAGCATGTGTGGAAGCCAATATGCTGTTACAGTATATATTGAAATCAGATATGTTATGCTATATATAATAAATATCTCAAAGACATTTATATTTCTAGTTAATAATAATTCATTTGTTCACCCAAATGCACACTGTCTCAACTTATTGAATTGTATGTTTGAGTACTAGTGACAATAAATGTTTATAAACATGCATAATACTGCTATATATGTGTATTGTTCCGAATCGATTCGCTCATATGTGTTGCAATACGGCGTATAACGTACGACTTACGTGATCCTTGTTCGTGTGCAATACATGTTATGGGGAATAATACACTATAAACGACGGCCTTTGTAAAGGAAGACATGACGATAACATCTCGTATTTATATGTATGTAGATATATTCATCGTCGTTTCTTTTTAGCTAAAACGTTAAATGTTTTGCTCTTATTCATAACCATGTGCGGATCTTGCGTTATTAAATGTGATAAACGATACCATATGTATTTAAATGGAAACATGTTTTGCTGCCGCAATGCATTCAGCTTTTTTTAATCTTCGTCATTGTAACATCTAGACACATTCTTAAGAAAGTGAAGGGATGATCTAAGCACACATCTCATTTTTTTATGCGGTCTCTTAGGTGTTGAATCAGCAGTGAAAGCACTACAGCTTATCAATGGATATCTGCTGAAAGGAAAACCAATTGTTATACAATATGGAAAGAAGCAATGATTTCTTCAGGGATGTCAGAAAAGGAAAATCTGATAAAGAATGCCTGTGGAATCGCCGCCTTGTTTTATACATAACGACACAGTTGCCCTGTGTTACTGTCTACCGTTCTTGGTTGAATATTACTTTTAATCAACGTCTAACTACTATATGCCGCCCACTCGCTAGGATTTACCAAACTTCCAAACCAGTATGTATGCGTGTGAATTCATTACACAGCAAAAGGTATTCAATAATTGATTCTTGTCAACGATAAACGCTCCTTATTGTCGTTTTCTTTGAAAACTAGTACCCAATATATATTTGAACTGTACAACGTTGAATGTCGAAATTCTCAATCATCGGTGAAGTTGCGTATTGTGATATGTAATATATCCATAATTATTTTTCACTTTTAAATTTTTTTACCGCTATTGAATTAAAGGATGGATATTGTGTCAATGCTTCTTTTTTCATGCTACACCATTTTCTAGTGCCATGTTTTCCCGAATGTTCTTAAAGTGTTAGATTTACACCAATGCATTTAGTTCTTGTCAATAAAACCCGAATTGTATTAGAATATTTTTGCTGTTGTAAAGGTTTTATGCTCTTAGCAAAGTTGCCAAATGCACTTAGTATTGATAATCATAAAATTCAGCTTGTGAACGTTATATCGATTATCGATGTTATGGATTGAGTGCGCCCTTTCAGATTAACGTATGTTTAGACGATAAACACCCTTGAGTGAACCCTCACGAATGCATACTGTAATTGATTGTGAGTCAACTTGTATCTGCTCTTGTATCTGTTCAATTATTTGTAGTAATTTTTCGTTTCATCTTCTGTATAACTAAATAAGATAACCCGTAATAAAAAAGTTGGAATGCATCGCTATGGTATCCCTAAATTCGCATTGAAAAATATTGTTTCATGTGTAATGACAAATATAGGATTCGCCCTGGGAATTTGTCTGGTGCAACTAATTTGACGTGATTATCAGGGTGAAGTTCAGTTAGGTAGGTAGGTTTTTTAGGGAGATTCGAACACAAATTTAAATTTAGGAAAGGAAATGACTGTTTAAACACTGTCAGAATCACGGTGTCATGATGCAGATCGAGTGTGTCGTTCTTCATAGATTTGCGTGAAAACCCAGCATGAATTTTCTGCTAATATGTGAAAATCGGATTACTTGTCCCAAATCCAACCAACGTTCATACTAGTGACTTGCATGCTAGAACGACATGCTATTTATCAAAATACAAATTGATATTATTTCAAAAATCGTCAATTGATTGGAATGCTTCAGTGAATTAGCTGTCTCCATGGAACCTTATACTGCTAGCACCATGAATGTGCGAAGTACATTCTTTGTGCGTCTATCTATTGTGTCCCTGGGAATGTGTGAGTAATGATTCAGATGTTCTGAAAGCACCTATGATGAAAGATTTATTCCCGCTACACATGCGATACAATATACATCAATCTATCTTTTATTTTTCCCCTTAATATGACATTGTTGTTTGGCATGTATTATGCCTGGCCCACCGAATGATATATGTAATGATGGTCCTGCCATGTTGACATTATGTAGCTCATGTTTTGTGTCGTATATTGCTAGGTTTTGCATACTGTTATTATTAATAACATATTCAAATACAAAACAATTTTGGTGTGTACTGTTGTTATAGTATTCATTCGTATTACAATATGGCCTGGTTACACAGCAATTGACTCAACTTGTTGGATATGAGGTGTTTTTCATTCAACAATTGGGTTGCCAGAAATCCTCACCATTCGCCTAATTGGTTCAGGACTCAAAGTAACATATTCAACTGAAATACTTGTATCAGCAGATATGTTCTGACGTCACTAACTGATCTCCCCCATAGGCAACGCTGTGTCTATGTGGTATTGTAGCAAAAACAGGTGACACAAAGCTGTCAGTGTGTCATCTGCTTACGCCACGCTCTTGATCTAGCTGATACCTAGTACGTTTGTACTACGCTTAACTAAATTACGCAGAGATGTATTTTGAAATACATGCATATCACTCGTGATGGAAGTTGGGACATGTTTTAAATAAAATAATACAGTCGTACACTGGTCAAATTTGAAAATATGTGGATTTCGATACGTCGGAATTTCTAAATGAATTTTAAATTTGAATGTATGGTATGACTTTAGCTTATTCTTTTATCTCGTGTGTCTACGACCATAATAAAAATATTCGTTTCCTACTTGCAAATTATGTAATTTTTCCTGTTCACAATTGTATTCACACATGAAGCAATTTGTTTTGACTGCCCCAATTTCATGTAAAGCCATTGCCAAACAAAATATCTTTAATGTACCTTGCAGTATCTGCAGGTCATCTAGATACAAAATATGTCTTAACTAGACCTGTCATAGAAAGTTCTAAAATACGGTACAAAGCACAAATGTTTTTTGATGAATTGCTTGATCGGCATGGAGCATTTATTTTGCCATTTTATTGTATATTAAACTGCCAGCCTTTTTTAATTTCTATATTCCGGGACGCTTAACAAGGCAGTCCTGGACTTTTTATAAGCCTGGTGGCAGAATTGAATTCCCAAAACAATGTCTTTTTTTTTTAACCATATTTCACCCACATTTCCTGATTTGTGTATGTTGACATATCATATATGTTTCAAGCACGATTCCAGAATAGCTTGTTTTAAACTCTTCTATGTTGATTATGTCAATAAAAACACTTTTTGCATATTTTATGCTATTTTTTACAAACAGCTCCCCCTTTTATTTCGGATAGTAATACTATATTGTACTATGTTCTGCATAAATGATAATTTTAGTTTTCTCACAATAGACAATCAACCTCCAGTATTGTTCATCTTTGTCAAATAATATTATCAAACCTGGTAATGTACCGTATACAATGATTGTATAATCTGCGTTTATAGAACAATATAAGTTGTAATCTAAAAACACCCTGCATTGGGATACGATTTATTTGAATTTCTAAATAATTTAATAAATCCTACAAATAGCAATGTGCTTAAATTACCACCAATCAATTGCGTATTTGTAAAACCATGTGCGAGTAATGTACATCATAATACATACTTCTCATCAAACTTATCTTCTTGTACGTGAACCTTGATTTTATAAGCTTTGTAAATAGGTCACTCTATTCACATAATCCAATGTTGCACTGTTATGTTGTTTAATGTCTGGGAAAAAGTAAAGACCAGGTTGAAATTCCTTTCAAACATTCTAAACTGGCCTCATGGTAAAAGCATCGATTTTAATTTGTTTTCCCAAAACTCAATTTATTAATTGCATCACATATATTTAATTTGTACATATATCTTGGTGTCTAGCGTCTATGTAATAACAATACACCCCGCGTATAGGCAACATGCAGTATATAATAAGAGAAAGTGACACATAATGTACAGTATTTGTTTAGCCTGAACGTTCGAATTATGTCTGTATTGTCCATCGAAAGTTGCAAAATCAACAATGTGTTTACATATCACCCAGCGACATTTGATCGGATGTCCAATTGACCTTATATTTTTTCGAACATGTTTCCCTTTATAATGCAGTCCCAAAATGTATATCATTTTATGTATCGTACACATACAAGACAATCATTAAATAAAGGCAAGTCTATTTTCCCCGATGAATATTGCTTCAATGAAGTTGGAAAGCATGAAAAGCATAAGTGAAGTACGATGCGCTCACTCATGTGTCATTTGAAATGTATACTTTGAGCTATGCGTGTATACCTCTGTTGCGATCAAGTATCACATGTGTGTATGTAGTGCCTTGCTTTAAGTAAATATACAACATTTGGGTAATTATGTAGTCTTGGTCCTCCGGGACGGGAGAATACTACATGTTAATCCGTTGGATGTTTCTTTGAAAAGTTAAACTGTAAGATTGAGAGAAATTATTGAGTATGGTTGGTTCGGCTAGCATTCAGGGAACATAATCCACGCTATCCGGTGTTGATGTTCCTTCCCCTCATAACAATCTCTACCCACCCAAGAGGAACGTAAACGTTCAAATACATTTAAGCTAGAAACGTTGGTGTTTTAATAGAGTACAACTTACCCATGGTACAGTAGGGGCAGGACATCTGTACGACATCTTACGTTCAGCTAGAGGAATGAATTTTAGTCTGGCTATATTTAAGTATTAGCAGTATTCAAGGATTGGTTTGTTGTCTCATAGGTTCTCGTTTGAATTACTGCGTATCTTGTTCAGTAGATTTACTGAACACAAACAAGCATGATATGGATTTCTATCGAAATAACACATCTAAATCATTCGCAGAAATAAAACTCCCACTTGAAACTGCCTGCCGCATTTATTTCCTTGATATAGTTTGTGCTATTCCCTCCGTTGTACTCTCAAAACATGTCTATTGGTCTTGGGCACTGGTTATACCTTTCAAGTGTCTCCTACGGATGACATGCTTTCGACGATTATCCGCCATCGAAGTATATCAATCAACTGCGACTACAGTGACTTTTTGCAGCAGATAATATACCAAACCAAGGTTTCAGAGGGTTACGTGTAATTGTAGGTTAGCTGCGTATATTAATTGTTTTTTTCTCAATTACCCAGTATTGCAGTGAAGCATGAATGACATCATAGTGACTCTGACTCTATTCACAAACATAATCCTCACTCACTCACTTCGTTTTTGGACAGTTCTTGATACTAGCCAACGAAAATAAGAATTTGACCAACAGTACGATCATAATCACGGTAAATTCTGTGTAACTATTGTTTCATTTAACCCTGTAATTTAATCAATAGTCATATTATTTAGTATACATTAGTGATACTTGTATCTATGTATTTCCTGCAATAAATAAAAACACTGATAATTAAAGTAATCGTATATTTTAGTGAAGAAAGTGTATTCCCTACTATATTTCTGTCATTTTATTTTGTTTTGTTTTTTTACTTCTGTAATGATATTCCTAATTCTCCTTTTTAGTAAATTCTGTTTTTAAATATATATTCCAGGTTACCTGTTTCGCAATAACGCAATCTAGATACTATTTTTGTTCAGCTGTCGTGCATATAAGGAAGGAAACTTGTCATATAACTGAAGTGATATAATGCATATCAACGTATATGAGACATTATCGAACTATTCGTTTATCCAAACATCTAATGGCTGC